TTTCCCTATATTGGTAGGCCTTTAAATTGGTGTATTAATGTACATCCTAGAAAATGCATTAAAGCTGCAGGATTTAAATAAATTGCCTCTGGTATAGCACCAGGCACTGAATGTTCAAAGTTGTTATCCTGGAAAGCCCTGAAAAGATGTGCCATTTAAAATGTGTTCGTGTTCAAATGTACAGCGTGACCATGGTGTTTCGTGACAGTTCTTTAACAGCTCTGCTAAGCAAGTGGGAAATGTGCTTCCAGGCTTATGCCTAAGGCATAATGGTCAGAAACCTGGTTGCTGCTCTCAGAAGAGAAGATGGATTCTGCCAGTGGAAGGCTGGACAATACCAATTATAACTAAGGCCTCCAGGGTCTGTAGAACTTTTACCAACATTTATTTCTTTTGTAAAAAAAATAAAAATCCCCCCCCATGTAGATTCAATTAACGTTGCTGTTCACTAATCAATATTCAGTTAATCACTGATTCATTTAATAACTGTTTCTTGAAATGCAATAGCACTTGGTGCTCAGTACATGATTTGCCACGTCATCGTAGGTTAAAAGAAATTGCATAAAGATTGAAAATGTAAGTTGTTGAAATTATTATTTCCTACAAGCAGGTACAATTGTAGCATTTAGATGTGTAATGGTCTGATGCTTGTCTTGAAGAAAAGAAAGAAGGGAGATCATAGGGTTGTATTTAACTAACTTTCCTCATAGTAGACACACTAATATTAATGATCATGACTAACTTGGGTACGTTAATTTCAATTAGTTGACTACCACCCATAGAAATCAACATTTGCGGTTGGCAAAGCCTGTCAGAAGACTTGGCTAGTGGAAAGACATTGTAATGCAGTTGTAGACAATGTGGTGCCCTACAGATGTTATTAGACTATTGTTCCCATCAGCCTTGCCCAGTACCTATGTTGGCTGGGGCTGTTGGGAGTTGGGAGTCCAACAATATTTGTAAGGCACCACATTGGATAACCCTACCATAGCATTGTATTAGATATAATAACACATAGATAAGTCTTCAGTACAGTAGTACCTTGGTTCTCGAACAGAATGTGTTCCGAGAGTAGGTTTGACTCCCGGAACCGTTTGAAAACCAAGGCGCGGCTTCTGATTGGCTTGAAAGCCACGCTGGACATTTGGCTGCCGAAAATAGTTCGAAAACCGGAACACTCACTTCCAGGTTTTGATCATTCAGGAGCCAAGGTACAACTGTATAGACACAACCAGTGGTTAAGGCAAAAGTAGTCATATTTTGAACCAACTGGACTCCAAACTTAATTTCATACCTTGAAAATTTCCAAGAGCTCAACGTGCTCAGATGCGAAGAGGTGAGCAAGCATTTTACAGACTATCTTCAACCCTGGATGTTGTCGTCATTTGTCACCATTGAATTGCTTGCATGCTGCCTTTATAATGCTGTGGTGTTCGATTTCAGTTGGCCACTGTCCAGACCTCCAGTGATCCGAGGCCTGCCTGTCCCATCTTCCATGAGCACGGAGGAGATTTCCCACGAACACATCACGATAGAAGCAGCAGATAGTGGTCGTGGGAGCTGGACCTCCTGCTCCAGTAGTTCTCATGATAACTTCCAAAATATCCAGAACCAGAAAGGCTGGGACCTCTTAAACTCTTACCGCCACGCTCACTTAGAAAGGGCCATTGCTGAAGTAGAACCATCAAGCAGCTGCCCTGAAGAGATTCACTTGCAGCCCCACGCCCACTCAAACAGCAGCAGGCAATCCAAAACGGGCATGGACTTTGACCAATCCCGGCAGAGCTGGGCTTCATCGAGTTCTCTGTCAGACGCATATGAAGCAAACTGTGGGACAGTGAAGCGGCGAGGACTTGACAGCTTAGCAGTAGAGCAAGCTGAAGTTTTGGACTCCAAAGCAGGTGGCGATACAACATACAAAACTGTCACTTCGAGTACCGAGAGAGGCCTCATAGGTAAGCCGCCCAAAGGCTGTGGAAGCTCCCACAGCTGCACTGTATTATGTTATTAAGCTGTTAAGAAATGACATCAGCAGATTGCATGTTAAAATCCAGTTTGTACACATGTTTTCAATCAAATAAATCCACAGCCCAAAGTGTTTCCAGACCTCCTTGGGAGCAGGGGTGGGATTTAAAGTAACAGAACAGCAAACTTTTTATTGCCTTACAGGGAAGGGAGCAGGCTTATGCAACAAGCAGAGGAAATTTTCCCTGTGGCCTTTTCCAAAAAAACCTTTCTGAGATATCTTTTTGCAGTTTTCCAATAAGAATTTGGGCTGTCCTTTCTTGAGCCCTCTCATGCATTACACTGGAGATGACCAAGTTGGTGCAGAAATTGTCCACGTTGCGATACTTTTCCCAGCCATTCAGCCCTGCCTACCTGCTCCCCTTTGCCCTTAAGGCAGAAAGAAAATATTCCCCAGGTGTCATTTTGCATTGCCAGCAGCTTGGCCATCCTCCAAATGCTGAGTATCCCAGGAAGTATTTTGTGCCAAAACCAAATAGATTTCATACCAAAATGACATATCAGGTCGTATTATTGAAGTCGGGAAATATGGCATAAAAATATAATTGTACACAGATTGTAAATCAGTTAAGAGAATACATAAATCATTGTGATTCTTTTATTGAAAAATATATATATCCCACATTGTCTTAGATATGAAAGCTGCTTCCAGCATTGAAGAAAAGGATATGGATACATTTTCTCAGGGGACTTCTCTCTCTTGCCTGCCCTTTCTTCCAATGTGCAATGATCTCTGCTCCTAGATGCTATACTTGCCCTATACCTCTTTCCTCCCTTTAACTCATCCTCAGCTGTACCATGTTACTTCATTTCTCACACCCACATCAGTGTCCACCCCAGGCATCTTGTGAAAGAGGGTGAGATATGCATCCTCTTCCACCCAATAGATTGCCTTACATGCTCAGCTGCTGGTAGCAGTGCACATTCACGTACTGCTACCAGTACCTTCCTACTAATGTTCTCAGTCAGGTATGAAATACAGGACCATACCGGAAGAAAGTAGTGTTTTGTGACATTGGATATTTTGGCGTGGTGTTGGCTGCATGTCTGGAATGTGCTTTTTGGAAACCTTGGCTGACTGTTTTTTAAAAAATATTTGAAAGCCCTGCAAGGAAAGTTGTTGTAGTGGGTTTGAGGTAGAGTTGCAATTTTTATTTTTGTGCAACCACTGTGCATTGATCAGCTGTTTGTGATATTTGGGGATAAAGTGGGGGCATCCTGGCTTGGACCCTTGGTTGCTCTTCTGTCAATGTGAGGGACTCCAATCCAACAGAGGCTTCTACTGGAGGGAGGAAGGAAGGAAATTTTTGCCAATTCCTCTTTCCCTATACAGCTCCCAGTGACACCTCCAGAGGGTCTCCTAATCACTTGGAATATATTACCTTGGGCACTGGGGAATAATAATAATAATAATAATAATAATAATAATAATTTATTATTTCTACCCTGCCCATTTGGCTGGGCTTTCCCAACCACTCTGGGCAGCTTCCAACAAAAGATTAAAAATACATTAAAACATCAGTCATTAAAAACTTCCCTAAACAGGTGGAATTGTGAAAATTACCTTCCCCTTTCTCCCAGTAGGGGGATCCAAGTCTTTGAACACAGTTTCCTTTTCCTCAAAGTGCATTTGAAGCGTATTTCACTGTAGGAACAATTAAATTCATGTCACTAGCAGCTTTTAGCCATTTTGATAAATCAAAATGGAATTAATGTCAACAAGGGGGAGCTGCTGCAAAATATTACAACTGTGCGGAGTGTTGCTGTTTAGTATGCCAACCAGCTGTGCATTCTTTTGGGATTCATAATTTCATTTTTCCACCCAGCCAGTTTCTTATTCAGCTCCCCCCCCCCCAAAAAAACAGTCAACATTATGTGGCCTTGTGTTGTTTGTATCTGTCTGTCTGTCTGTCCATCCATCCATACACACATTTTTGCAGGACCTGAGGTTCCCATATGACTGCTAACACGTGGGTAGGCAAACTAAGGCCCAGGGGCTGGATCTGGCCCAATCGCCTTCTCAATCCGGCCTGCGGACGGTCCGGGAATCAGTGTGTTTTTACATGAGTAGAATGTGTCCTTTTATTTAAAACACATCTCTGGGTGATTTGTGGGGCATAGGAATTCGTTCTCCCACCATCCCAAAAATATAGTCCAGCCCCACACAAGGTCTGAGGGACAGTGGACCGGCCCCCTGCTGAAAAGGTTTGCTGACCCCTGTGCTAGCACCTTCCTCTTGTGTGTACATGGTCCTCTTTTGGCTTACATAGGGCTCCACACTCACCTCTGGAAAGAAAGGGAATGAGACTATCTGTGAAAGGTTTGTGACATGGCGCAAGCTGGAAGAGGAGAAGGAAAGAAAATGGCACGTCTGTAGACCAAAGAAAGGGAATTCACAATTTTCAAACTGAGAACCACCTGTCTAGTAGCTGGCCCATTTTGTCTTTTTGCCCCATGCCATTACAGTTTTAATTCACATTCCTATTAGTGCCAGTGTAAACAGGATTTCCACAGTTCAAAATTAAAGAAAAACTAACGAGATCAAAGCAGGAATAAGCAGTTTTGCAAAGAGGAATTGTCAGGAAGGTAAATGCCTGTGAAATCTAATTAATAAACCTTTTCCTAAGGGCATAGCTTTTTCATCAGAGGGTAATTGCGTCTCCTCAGATCACCCCCCAAAATTTGGGCTTGCATTACATTTCATCCTCTGCCTAGCTCTAAGGCAAAACCAACATTGCCGAATGAATGTTTGGGTGGGGCAGGGGTTACACACCCAGTCGATGTAAGCCCAGCATTCTCTACTCTGAGGAACGTCCTCTCATTGTTCCTGTCTGTTCTTGCCACCTTGATCAGTCTTGGCATTTTGCCTGCTGTCTGCTTTTCCACAGACCTGACATGCAAACACCACAAAATTGTAGGGCTGGAAGGGATCCTGGGGATCATCTAGTCCAACCCCCTGCAGTACAGGAATTTCCTGCCCAACCTGACGCTCCAGCTCACAACCCTGAGATTAAGAGTCTCATGCTCTACCGACTGAGCTATTCAGTTTAAACCATTTTTATCTTTTATCAAAGGATATCCCCAAAGCCTGCTCCTTGTTTGATTTTGCCATTTATTTGTTAGCAACTAAAAGGGCATCGCAACAATTGTCTGTAAATGATATTAGTTTATCAGCATATAATCTAGTTTTCACTTTTGCACTTGATTTATAGAAGCCAGCTGTTTTGGAATAGAAACTTACCAAAAAAAAAACAAAAAACCTGCTGCAAATTGTGCTCCTTGGCACTGTAAATAAATTTAATGTTGAAATTTGGCATACTTTAGAAGTGACAGATGAGCCTGGAAATGCATGACTTCAGCTGCCCTTTTTTGTTCCTTTCCAGTGCTTCCATTGCCGCTACTTCAAGGTTTCACACTAGCAAGTGGTAGGACTACAGCTCTGTACCAATCTATCAATGGAGAGTAGTAAGCTAACCATTTAGAGTGATCTAACAGTGGTAAAATATTGGAATATACCTTAGGAAATCTATGTAAGAGCTGTAGGTTTTGAATTGCAGAAAGGACCTTCCAGTGATATTACTGAATGAATGTAACATGTAAAATTGCAACTTAAGAGTGTGTTGAATTGATACATGCAGCTTCTTAACTGGCAGAGTCCCTCTTAAAATTATAAAGCGGTATAGAAATGAAATGAATAATAATAATAATAATAAGAAGAAGAAGAAGAAGAAGAAGAAGAAGAAGAAGAAACTTATTTGGATAACATTGGTATTCCAGTGTTAACACCATTTGTCTGGCTTAGACTACCTTGGTTACCTACTTTAGGATTAAGAAAAGTCATATTTGAAGATGAGAATGGGGTAGTCTTAAGACAAAAGACAAAAGCTTCACAAACTAAACTTACATAATTCTAGAAAAGGCAAGTATCAAGGTGAATTGTAGGTATTTTAATTACATTTATTGCCAAAAATGCTGGCAGTATGACATATACAGTAATTGAAATTAATGCTGTAGGATTCTCTTATATATCTGTGTGTGCAAGAATATAAAAGGTTTTGAAAGTTTTTGATCAGGAAATTTCACTCACATAGGAACAATGAAGTAAATTCTCAGGTTTGGAAATGTCAGTGTTTGTATTACAGATAAGTTACGTGTGTGTGTGTAAAGTGCTTTGTCTAGTACAGTGGTACCTTGGTTTTTGAACATAATCTGTTCCGGAAGACCGTTCATCTTCTGAAATGTTCGAAAACTGAGGCACCAAGGCCTGGCTGCAATTGCAATGGAGAAAATTGGGGGGAAAAACCTCAGCGGTAGCCGTTTGACTTCCAAGACACATTCAAAAATGGAAGCATTTTCTTCCAGGTTTTTGGCATTCGGCTTCTGAAACATTCGGCTTCTGAAACATTCAGCTTCTGAGACATTCAAAAACCGAGATACCGCAGATTTCAGATTGTTGTAATCAACTAGCCTAGGATTACAAAAAATAAATAAAATAAATACCCTGTCTGTAATTCAGTAGTGGACCATGAATTTCAGGTGTCGAAAGATTGGGGTTTTTTTGTTTTTTGTTTTGGTTCTTTACTAAAAGATCTGCCTTTTAAAATATTCTGCACAGTTCATAATTAGTTACATTTTTATAAGTGAATAATTATGTGTATTTAGAACACTTGTATACTTCTACACCAACTGCTATTGGGCCAAGAACCAAGGCAACTTTTGTTTCCTGAAGCCAATATAGCAGCTACCTCTGCCCTGTTAATGGATCCTATTATTACAAAGAATGCATTTAGGAATGTGATGCCTAAATAAAGAGGTTATACTCTTATCTTAATTGCTAGGAGTGTAATATAAACCTTTTCAAAAGAGGATTGGGCAGTATCCAACTTGTTCCATCAGCACAAGGAATTTTGCTTTTGCAACAGATCTCCCTCCCTCCCCACTTTCCTCTCCCCATGTGCCCTCTAAATCTGTTCTGGGTTTTTCTCCAACTCTCCAGAGCGGATTTGGGGAGGGTGTGGGACTATTAGAGAGGGTAAGTTTTGTTGCATAAGGAAAAATCCTAGTACCGATAGAAGAAGCTTGTTGGATACTGCCCATTGTCTCCAAACCAGATTTTCACAACTGAAATAAATTATTCCACCCAATATTAATAGAATTAAGAATGGCACCAGAGCTCATGAATAGCATAGGTGTAAGGTCACGCAGGGGTCAGCAAACTTTTTCAGCAGGGGGCCGATCCACTGTCCCTCAGGCCTTGTGGGGGACCGGACTATATTTTGAAGAAGAAGAAAAAAGAACAAATTCCTATGCCCCACAAATAACCCAGAGATGCATTTTAAATAAAAGCACACATTCTACTCATGTAAAAACACCAGGCAGGCCCCACAAATAACCCAGAGATGCATTTTAAATAAAAGGGCACATTCTACTCATGTGAAAACATGCTGATTCCCAGACCGTCCGGGGGCTGGATTTAGAAAGTGATTGGGCCGGCTCCGGCTCCCGGGCCTTAGTTTGCCTACCCATGAGTTAGGACATTTTTAAAGAATAGCCCCAATGCAAAGGGTTTGGTGGGCGGCACCTTGTCATTATTTTAGAGGAACATTTCCAGGGATAGATAGCTGGGGAAAAAATCAGGAATGTGAGAGTCTTCCAAATCACCATATTTTTCGCTCTATAAGACGCACCAGACCATAAAACGCACCTAGTTTTTGGAGGAGGAAAACAAGAAAAAAAATATTCTGAATCTCAGAAGCCAGAACAACAAGAGGGATCGCTGTGCAGCGAAAGCAGCAATCCCTCTTGCTGTTCTGGCTTCTGTGATAGCTGCGCAGCCTGCATTCGTTCCATAAGACGCACACGCATTTCCCCTTACTTTTTAGGAGGGAAAAAGTGAGTCTTATAGAGCAAAAAATACGGTAATTGTACATGTTTTAGCTAGAGAGTTGGTCCAACTGCTGTCAAAAGATGTTCTAGCAAAGTAGGTTTGGAAAGCTGGGGACATTGTATACGGCATGGCTTTGGTCAAAGAAGGCAAATTAATCACGTGGCTGTTAGAGATAACTTCCAGTAGCAACTAAACAGGCTTATTTTGTGCAAACATCTTATCAAAACCTCTATTTTCACATATCACTGTATATGAATGCTTTGCTGGTCCTGCTAAAATTCTTTGGACTTGGTTTTTTCGTTTTTCTTTCTGTTTTCAAAATGCAGCTATTCCCTGCCCCTTCCACCTCATTTTAGGGATATTTGATTTTCGCACTTGAGTTTGTGGAGACTACAAGATAAAATGTATTAATTGAAGTGCAGGTTTATAACAGTGCCTATTGCTGTCTGCCTGTTTGCCAACCGTTGAGATCAGGGAGCCTTTAAGGACCTCTTCAGCTCCTTGAATCTAGGAATCTTGCCTCTCTATACTGTGACTTTTTCAGTACGTAATGTTTAAAATCCTGCCGGTGGCCTTTTATAACAAGCAATTCTTTCATTTACTTTTTTTGTTATCAGTTTTCAGTTTAGCCATTGTAACATTTCACTGTTTTTTTTTTTAAAGAAATGCTTTTCCCCTTCTCATTTGTTTTCTCCATTAACATTTCCATTGCTTATTTCTTGTGCCAGTGTACTGTGTCACCTCACCTAAGGAAGACAATAGGTATAGGGAGCCACCGCCCACCCCGCCAGGATATATGGGGATTTCCTTAGCGGACTTAAAGGAAGGATCACCTCACCACCCACACCTAAAACCTCCAGACTATAGTGTGGCGGTGCAGAGGTCAAAGATGCTGCATAGCAAGCTCTCTAGGCTCTCCTCCACTCCTCTGAGTAGCGAACCAGTGGCTTGTTTTCCAAAGAAGATGCCTCAGTTGCATGGCCGACAGCCGTCCCATCCTAAGCTAGCAGATATGACTGACGCAAATAGTGAAGAGGATGGTATGTTGAAGATCTAATTTGACAGCTATTTAGTAAATTGGTGTGTGATTTGTAAGTGTGGCCAATGCACGAATTGTCTGACCTCACAAGGATCGCCTTGAGTGTGCTTCAGTGATTTCCCCCCTCCGCTTCTAAATCAATTGCACACGCTTTACAAGTGTGTACTGTGAAATGAACAACTCTTTAAAAAATCCAGCACATTAATCACTGTGTTCATGATTAACCAGCATGTGTCCAACAAATGCAAGTATAAAGCCAGGTGCACAGAGTGGTCCACAGTTCTTGTCCCTGAAAGGCAGATGAAACTCTCCCAAAGAGCCTATAATATATTTTTTTTGTACGTAACAGAAAGATGCTTCAGAATGAAATAAACCAAAGTTGGTCTACGAAATTGCTAGTGCATACAAGCAACCTCTGTCTTGGTTAGGGGGGAAACAGATGGGCCCCTGCCACATGGTGGCCATCTGTAAGCTCCTGTCATGTAGTAAGCTGGGCATTTCCTCCTGTACAGCTCTGTGGGGCTATAAGGCTGAGTGTCCCAGATATCCAGAATCAAGATATTACTGGCTGCCCAGGCAGCTGGAGCTGTAACGAAGTGCAGTTTAAAGTCGTGGCTGCACATTAAATGGCCATTAGTTTCCACCCTTACGTTTTTGAAGGGAATGCTATCAGACTGAAAACAGCTGAGACTTTAAATTGTAGTTTCAATTATTTACAAGCAAGAGTTGCAAACCTCACGAAATTGCTTAGTGGGCACAGTTGAGCCCAGAGGGACCCACTAATTGGACCACGCTGGTACTTTGCACCTGACCCCTTTCCCAACCTTTTTACACCTCAACAATCATCTCCTAAAGGGCTTAATTCCCCAAATCATGAAGATTTAAAAGGGGTCTAAAGTGAAGGTTTTGCTTGCTCCCCCCCCCGCACTTTATCTAATGAAAACAGGCAACTTTGATTTTGCAATTTATTCCATTTGTTGTCCACTTTCTGTTGTCCACCACTCTTGGTTGTTTGGCACAATCCCCTCCTCCATTTTTAATTGAATGCATGAATTGAAATTCCTCTTTGAGTGTGCTTTTACAAAATTAGAAATTTGGCACAAATTTTGCCTGACATGCTCCCTTGAGTTGAGAAAGCTCTTAGTTGTGCTATATGCACAGTGCTGTGTTTCAGAAGAAGGGGAATGATGGTGGGTGAAAGAAAGGAAGTGTATGTGTATATACACAGCAGTGTGGGATCATGTTCCTAATCTCTCGGATACTAAAGCACTCTAAAAATAGCACATTAGGATGCATTCCCCAGCTTCAAATTCAAAATAATCCATTATTTTATTTTTGTATTATAATTTTATCCCGCCCGTATAGTTCTTTCCCCATCCAGGTGAGCCAGATGAGGCTCAGAGTGAGTGTGCATCAGTGACTGATGGGAAATTTGGATCCAGTCATCACTGCACCATGCGGTACCTCATTAAATGAGTCCCAGTCAACTTACCCCTTCCAAACTTTGGCTGAGATCAAAATACCTATGTTAGATGTACCCATGACTTGGGCATATGCAATGGGATTTTTAACTTTATGTTGAAACTCCCCATATTGGTCATTGTTTCCGCCATATGAAGTGCCCAGTTTCCAGATGTCTTTTGAATTTGTATTATGATTGAAAGCATCCCATGCACACATTCTGTTGCTTGAGCACACACACAAAGCAGAGTTTTGTGTGTGTGCTCAAGCAGTAGCATGTGTGCCTTGTACCTTATCTGAAGAGTATGTAGTAAAGGAAGCTACTGGGGGGAAGAAGCGTGATAAGCAGTGATGTTTCCATAGATCTAGCATACGCTGCTTCCCAAATCCTTTTAGAAAAAGAAAAGGAAATGCACGACAGAAAGGACATGTAATATTTTGCTTAAGCTGACAGCATGTTTCTTTTCATTTTTGTTCACATGATCAAAAGCATTAAGGATGGCTGCAAGGGAGGATTTTGAATGCTTTGAAAATGCATGCCACTCATTTGATTTTGAGTCGGGGAAACCCGGTGGGGAGCAGCTTTCACGTTCAGAGTGGGTGTGGTCAGTGTATTGACTAAATGTGTTGCATGTTTATGGAACAGATGGTTTACTGTGTTTCTCTTGCTTCACAGAAGATGAACAAGTTTCAGCAGTCTAGCCTTTGCGCTGCCTGTGAAAATTGCCCCAAGTCACAGTAACATTGGAAGAAGGAATTGTACAATATTGTTAGCTGTAGCTGACAGCTTGCTGCTATTGACTTCAAATGTTGCATTTGCTTGTCTTCTGAATAATATGACGGACCTAATCTGGATCCTAATTTTGAACTTCTTTTGCTTCACTGCAATCAGCTTCACAGCCTAAGAAAACTATTTATATCTTGAGAGAGACAGACAACAATTTCCAAGGAATACTGACCCTGAATTGCAGAAAGCAGAATCCAGAAGGACCTCCCTTTTAAAGAAGTGGGGCCAACTTGGAAACATTCTTCTGCAGGAAACCTGTAGACACTTTTGGTAGACTTTGCTCAGATATTTTCTTTGTGACCATTACGGCTCTCGATTGAAGAATGTTATTTTACGTGCTTATGGAACTGCAACACTTCAGCGAAACCAAGGATACATCTGCAGCAATCTGAAGAGTAATTTATTAATTTGGAGTTTATAATAAGGCTTTGGTTTGTTTGTTTGTTTATATGTGTATTAGAATGCTCTGGTTGGCTAATGTGAATGCTTTTACAAAGAAAATAAGGTAACAAATTATCTTGGTGTTAATGACATGTTTTATGCTAGCAAAACACCGTGGATTTCTGAGGAACTGGATGTCATGAGTGCAGCTAGAGGTTTACACACATTGCCACATAAACCTCTCTTGTAAAATGCCAAGCCCTGACGTGTGTATTGAGTGTGCTTTAATGTGCATAGTGTAGTGGAACACTGCCATCTGTTGGTCCTGTATTTTAAAACCAGTGAAGTACATGTGACCGCCGTCCTTTCAGCTATCAAATGAACAAGGAAGTACCTGCAGTTCTTTTCTTTCCCGCATTCCATTTCTTGCCCTTCCGTCGAATTGAATCATGCTGTGTGTGTTACGTTGTATTTACAGCGCAATCTCCTGTGAACCCATCCAGTGCAAGTCCCCTTGCAACAAATGGAAGAAGCTGCCAGGTTCTGAACTTTTGAGCTGCATCCAGTTTGCACCGGAGAAGTGCCCATCAAGTGATGCTCAGCTTGAGGTGTTCAAACAAGGAGAACTTTGGAAATTGGAACGGAACGTTAGGTTTTTGTTCTTCTCCTTAAAAAAACAAAGCTATATATGCACAATGCTGTGCTTGATTCTCAGGCCTCAGATTTACCTGGAAGCATTTTTCCCCCCAGTTCCAGAGTTGAAAACTGGATGCAGTTACTTGCTCTGTAGCTGCTGTGACACACTCTCCACTAGACTGAACTCATATGATCCTGGCTGAGCCTTCATATCTGGAAACGACTTTGAGGCTAAACCCCAGTGAGGCTTGCCTCCGGTTAAGCTCTGCACTTGAACTGTCAGCTTCCTTGCAACCACAATGTCTTAGAGAAAAACACAAAAGAGGGAAGGTGTTTAGAATTTCAGTCTTTGGGAACAAAAACTCAGCACAAAATGTGTGGCCATCAATAACTTTCAATATTTGCACTGCAGACTACTGTATGCTTATCTTTCTGTCTTTGTGGCCAGGACTAAATTTAGTGTGTTTCAGCGTCCAGATTATTCCATATTCTACATCCTCACCCCCCAAAACCATTTTAAATACTTGAGGTATAGGGTCTTTACAAACGAGATAACCCACTCTTAGAGCGAACCTGTAAAGTGTTGCCTTTAATTTATTACCATCCATGGGAGTCCATAAATACTGCTCACTAATCTCCAATGCTGAGCACATTTGTGGGTGTTTAGAATGAGAAACAGCTGGGGACTTGTGCCTTCAGTTGCTCTGGGATATGGAGGCACTTGGAAGCAGCCGGACTCTTTAACTCTCTCTCAAGTGTCTCAGAAACCTACTGTGACTGCAGGATCAAGCCCTTCCCCTTGTCCAAGGCTTCGGTGCAGGGCTACAAAGATGCTCAGTGACTTTGAAGCACTTCTGAAACCCAGGGCAACTGCAGGCACATCATCCCATCCTTTTACGGATCCTGAAAGTAGTTTTATTGTTGTGCTTTGGAGGTGCTCTGATGACCCAAGTTAGGGGAGGAGCAGGGTTGTTTATGACCAAATCTTTGGAATTGTTATCAAGGCACCATCCTCCAAAACATGCGGACATCTGGCCGTATTAAATATAGTCTGCATGTGTGTGTGTGTAGAAAGATATATCTATCTATCTAAGTACATGCATATGTAGAACACACACACAAGCTAAGGAACAAAGTAAGTCACTGTTTACAGTTAGGCTAAGCTGAGGTTGCAGCTTTGCTTTACTTAGCCAACCAGAGTACATGGAGAAGAACTGGAGTTCCCTGCAGTTATTTTCTTCCTCTAGCAATTACCCAGTCAAAGATTATAAATGGATGTATATTTCAGGTTTACCTGTAAATCCTAGTACCTTAAATGTTTACAATCCAAGCTAGAAGGAAGATGTTTGTCAATTTTAAAGGTGCCTCAGAGTAACTTATTTTTTTACTGTTCAAGTTGTACTAAGCTTTCACGTTTTCTTTTGAGTCTGAGGCAGATGCAGAATCCAAACACACGTACCAAAAAACAAAATGTAACTCCCTAAGCCTTCTATATGCATGATCCATATTGACTTAGGGCAGTGCTAGTGAACCGGAGGGTGTTTGGACAAACCTATGCCATTTCTGGCAGCCCGCTGAGGTATTCCGTTGATGCCTTGTAACATGGAATTACAAACCAGAAAATAATAGAAGGAGATGGAGAGGCTCTCTGATTCATCATTTAGTTGGCTAATCACATGTTAATACTCTAGCCTTAAGTATCTGAGAAAAGTAGCTGCACAATCAGTCTGCTCTCTTTTCTTTGCCTCCAAGGCCTTAATGGGAGCGATCAACTTGTATGGGCCTTAATGAAATAATATCAAAACCTGACTCAAGTTGGCAGCGGTGATTTCTGCATATACGGCAATGTTGACGCAGGCACAGACCAACCCACAGTGATATTTTCTAGCACAAACCCACTAGGAATTCCATACTATTCCAACTTCATCTGTTGAGTGAGACTTGTTTAAGATACAGTCTTGGTGGAAAGTGTACATAGGCCACAACCCATGAGTGCCATAGCAGAGGCAGGGAAGAAGCACCTGTGCAGCTAGATAACGGTGTTGGATCCAGATTAAGCCATTCTTTAGTCCTGCGGTGGGGAGCCTTATAGCTCTCCTGATAATGAACTGCAGTTCCCACCAACCTCAGCCAGCATGGCTTGTGGTCATAGGAGTTGCATTCTACTGACCTTGGGAGGACCATAGCTTTCCCCAAGCCTGCTTAAGTCCCCTTAGGCATCATTAACTTAGTCTGGATCCAACCCACAGTGAAGTTTTTACGGTGAGTTTCACTCCCTAGAATGAGCAAGCTGCTATTCTGTTTAAAACTTCTGGTTTCCTGTTCAGCCAGCTGACCGCAGTGAAGAACCTCAATGACTCTAGCTCTGCATAACATACATAAAGTGCTAAGGATGCAACTATACTTGCCATTAAAAAGTTTGCAAACCTCAAGCCTTAGCTTCAGTTTTCATCTTAAGTATCAAGTGGTGCATAAGTGCTAACATAACTGCAACCATAATAGGGAATACTGATGTTTTGGGGCCAATAATATAATTTCTCAGTAACCTCAAATACTGTTTTAGCTTGCCGGAACAAAACTAAAGGATTAAGGCCTTCTCGCTTGAGGGTAATCCTTCTCCATTTGATAATCCTGATACTCCTTTCATTTACATTATTGACAAATCTCAAGGTCTGCTCACCTTGTCTGAAGATCATCGAACCAGCCATTTGATAACAATCACCCTCTTAAATTTGGTTTTTCCATATCTACAGCATCAGTAATACTCTTTTTTTTAAAGTACATTGGTGTTCAAGCCACTGCACATCTTGTTAATCATGTTGTCCTATAGAGCCCATATAGTGTAAATATGCTCCGGGTAAATGAACTCTTTTGACTGCTTCCGATTTGCACAGTGTGAATTGCCTCAGTCTGTCCTTGCTCTGATCTTCATTTGTTTGTTTGCTTCCCGCCCCCCTTTTAATCAGCTGGTCACATTGATCAGGGACACTAGCCAAAATGGGTGGATACAAAGAGACAGAATCACCTTTTTTTAACCAGTTCACATGAAAACTTTTCTTAATCCTATTCTATGCTGTTTACATGACTTTAATTCTTAATGTTTATGAGTACATTGTTGGCATGTTCTGTGCTTTTGTCCCTTGCTATATAATTTCTAAGATCATGTGTTTGAAATGGCTGCCTCTTCTCTGCACATAACCTTTATTATTATTATTTTTACAATATATTGTGAGGAAACGTGTCTCAAACCAAACAGGATATGTCCTTTAAAGCAGGAAAGTTTGGAAATCTGAAACATGGAACCAATGTCAACTTTTGCCTCCATGTTGTGACATGGGTAAGGAGGAGGGGGAAAGTCCTCCTCACGTGTAAGTAGACCAGTGAACTGTACATCATTTTAAGCTTGCCCGTTGAGTGCTATTTGATGCTGGGCTTATAATGTTGATGAACTGCATTGTGGAAATGTGCATAATATTGGGGTAGAAAAAGTGTACTAGATGTACTGATGTTTTCCAATTTTGTAATTTTGAAGGTGCCCATGTGTTTATATGCACTCTGCTTACCCTGAGACACAGTGTCAACCTAAGGTAAACTAAAACATTGTGTTCTCACCTGAAGAGTCATTCTTTCTATGCTAAAGATGAGAGGACTTTGCACAGACACTAGTAGAGGTGCTGTTTACTTAGGCTTTTGAAATCACTTCTTAGGGCCTGATCCTACTGTGATTTGAAGTAAGAGGTGAGCTGCTCCTCTTTATTAGCTTCTCTGAGGAGGTAAAACCAGGACAAAAAGAAACCTGGCCCATTCAGCCATTCACTTATCAGCAACAGCACAGTTATAAGTCCCATATAATTGGCATTACATTAAATGTAATTTTAAAGAGGATATTACTTGCCTCCAAAGCTGATCGGGAAAATAGGGGTGATCCCTTGTTGACGAAAGCTTTTTAAATGCCAACAGTTTAAAAATCGAGTAGGAAACAAATTTGGCTCTGGTTCACTTCTCTTTTTTGTCATTGTCTTGTCTTTTAATTTTTATATATATATATACATGGAATGCAGTTTAGCTTGGTATTAATGACTTTTTGCATATGTGAGCATATGGGCAAAAACTGCACAGTTGTAATGGTATTCTGATAGCAATTGTAAAACTGCACAAGTCAGTGATTGTAAAGTATTCTGTAACAAGCAATGTTTGTCTTCTATTTTTTGATACCTCTTACACTTATGTCTTTTAGAAAGACAGTGCCTCTGTATGCTTTTTTTGTATTTTTACCGAGTGATTGTAAATATTTGTTATATTTTTGGTTAAGAGAATGTTTAAAAGTACTGTTTAATATCCAATCTACTAATGTTGTTGGAATCAATAAACGACTTACTTAATATGTATTATTGTGAATGGTTTCCTTCTATCCTCATATTCGCTCCCACCCCAGGACTTATCCACTCACTCACTCACGAAACCATGTCCAGCCTACCTCTGATACTGATTATCAATGCTGGGGTGTTTATAGAGGAAATTTCTCTTTTTGTTGTTTTTGCAGGCACTTAATACAGTGGGTGGAGAACTTTCAGATGTTGCTGCAGTACAGTTCCAACTTGACCATTGGCCAAACTGGCTGAGGCTGATGGAATTTGGAGTCCGTCAACATCTGGAGGGCCATGGGTTCCCTACCCTTAATATGTGCAATTGCTTCCTCTAGTCCACATGGTCTTGGGCATATTTAACTTCATTGCAAGCAATAACTTGGGTGCAAAGGTAGCGGAAAACACTATGTACAGAAGGGCTATCTTTTTCTTTCCCTAGCACAGGTGTGCCACATGAGAAAAGTGACCCCGGATCTAGAGAAGGCTTTTCACAAGCTCCTTATTCAAAACCTTTTCGTAGTCCATTTGAGCTTGTATTCTACAGCTCTTCTTTTCTGGCGTGTTTCTCAAACTGTACCACAACCCCCCCCACCCCAGTATCATGCAGCAGTAGGAGAAGTATTCTGGGTAGTGCTTGGGCAAGAGTTCACAGAACAGCACTAATATATTTTCCCCTTCCACCCTGTTGGTTTGGACCAGAGCAGTGAGTTTTAAACTGGCGCACCTGTGTCAAATTGTGATTATAGAGAGCAACCCTGTGCATCTTTGCTGGCACTGAAGTCCCACTGCATTCAGTAGAACGTAGTCAGGTAAGTGTGTTGAATCACAGCCTTCTT